GATCATCGATTTTCTTTCTCAGCGCACCAAACTATAGAATGGGGACATCTATAAGTATAAAAGTAATAAAATCGACTCGACACAGAAAAATGTTTAAATTCATGTCCACTAATAATTACTTCAAATTGGCTCTAATCAAACAAACTCGACGTTTTGGAATACCATTTGAGGTAATACCCACAGCTCTGATGTCCGTACAAAACATGTATGCTCGTAAATTAGTATGGATTTGTATACCCGAATTCCAATCAATGACGTACAGATATATGTCCAGCATTTATTGAATTACCGAACAAACAATGGTGGACTGGTAGCTCGAATCGAAAATAATTCTGTTGACCGCATAGTACAAAAATTAACGCATGTATTTTTGTTACAAATTAAACTAAAAGTAAAATATAAAATTGAAATACAAAATTTAATTCATTTTATTTCAACCATGTGTTATTAAATATACTTTTTTGTGTACAAAGGAATTTGATTCCTATTTTTTCTATATTATTTACTAAAGAAACATTATCCGATGTTTGAGGATTTAGTCTCAATTTTAGTAACTACTTACAATAATTTAGAATATGAGGCTGTAAAAGTTTGCTACCTGAATCGCAGTCAGAAAAAGAAATTGAAGTAGAACAGTTAGGAAAGGAAAATTAAAATTGATTTTTACCTGAATTCTAATAGAAAAGAAAGACCGATAAATAGCACTCTAAAACTAGAACAATAGAGAGAGCCCAGATCAAGATAACATCACTAACGAGTTACTCGAATACTAAAATTTTCCCCCAACCTAGAATCCCAGATAAATAGCGAATCAATATTATGATGCTATTATATAAAAAAGTCGATTAAAAAACCAACAGAGGAAGTTAACAACAAGAATCATAACAAACAAAATAATTGAATATATTTCATTAGCAGACGAATAATAAGGGTTCGGATCAGGGGAGATCCTGCACGGATGCTATTTTTGCCATAGAACAAATAACGGAGAAGTTGATCGAATATAATCGACCAGTCTTCATGTGTTTTATTTATCTGCAGAATGTTTTTGGCCAAGTTCAGTTAAAAGATCATAAAGAAGGTGTATTTTCTTTATTCATTAAAATAATCGAAAATATATATTCATAAAATAAGATTCAAGCTAAAATAAATGGCGAAATAATTGAATGGCAGGGGGAATTTATAAGCTTAGATACATGTGCTACATAGTGCTACATGTCTGCTACAACTTTTGTTGTAAAATCTTTTCTGTATCATGCTCGGAATACCGTGTTTTTCTATTAGCAACTTGTGAAACTATGAATTCTTCCAATTTTCATACTTTCAAATATATCTCTACATTGATGCAGGTGTGAGCAAAAGTGTTGGACAGCAATGTGTAAAGGATAAAATTTGCTATAACTTTTGTTCTAAATGTTTTTCTGTATCATGCTCGGAATACCGTTTTTTCCATTAACTAATTGTGAAACTACGAATTCTTCTAATTTTCATATTTTCGAATTTTTCTCGACATTGATGCAGCTGAGAGCAAATGTGTTACAGAGCAATGTGTAAAGGGTAAAATTTGCTAGAACTTTTGATCTAAAAGTTTTACTGCATCCTGCTCAGAATACCGTTTTCTTTCATTAACCAATTGTGAAATTACGAATTCTTCGAATTTTCATATTTTCAACATTGATGCAGCTGAGAGCAAAAGTGTTACAGAGTAATTTGTAAAGGGTAAAACTTGCTATAACATTTGTTCTAAAAATTTTTCTGTCATGCTCAGAATACAGTTTTTTTTTTCATTAGCAACTTGTGAATCTACGATTTCTTACAATTTTCATATTTTCGCATTTTTCTCGACATTGATGCAGCTGAGAGCAAAAGTGTTACAAAGCAATGAGTAAAGGGTAAAATTTCCTACAACTGTTGTTGTCAAAGTTTTTCTGTATTATGCTGGGAATATCGTTTTTCTTCCATTAACCAATTGTGAAACTACGAATTATTCGAATTTTCATATTTCCGAATTTTTCTCGACATTGATGCAGTTGAGAGCAAAAGTGTTACAGAGCAATGTGTAATGGATAACATTTGCTACATCTTTTGTTCTAAAACAAAAGTTTTACTGTGTCCTGCTCGGAATACTCTTTTTTTCCATTAGCAACTTGCTTGAAATGTCGAATTTTTCTCGACATTTCTCATTCTGTGAAAAGGGGTAGCAAACTGTGGTACCGGTGGCAGAGAAGGAAACATGATATTATCAGTGGCAAAAACAAAATCAATGACTATCTCCACGATACCGACCAGATGCAAGCTTATGGTTGATGATAAAATCATATACCAAGAAATGAACGTTAAATATCTGGACATCGAAATGTCTGGTTACGCAGATGTTGAAATGGATGTAAAGAATCAAGATGTAAAAGCATCAAGGGCAGTGGCATACTTAAATGACACAATACGGTATATTCGAACTGAAGTCAAAACTCGAACGTATAAGATTGTAATTAAACCTACAGTAACTTATGCAGCAGAAAGCCGACCCAAGACATCCAAAACAAAGAGAATACTAGAAACTGCAGAATTGAGATAGTGCGTAGAATAGCTGGAAAAAACACTGGTGGACAGAGAAAGAAGTGAGACCATCAGACGTACTTACAGGATAGGTTACATCATTGATCAGGTATTAAACAGAAAGAAAAGATTGGATGAGTACATGGATTACATGATAGAGAAACAAATTGTGAGAATAATGGTGGACCTTTCGGACGAAGGAACATCGGAAGACCTAGAAAAAGATGGATCGACAACTTTCCAAACAAATAAATATGTGCAAAGTTGTGAAGAAAACCAGGCAATTATAGCTAATTGTAAGAAAGAATTAATATGAGTACAGTCATAAAATTCCTCTTATTTTTTTGCAAATATCATCACCATTATCAGTCATCTCCCAAATTTTTGCCAATTTAGTTGAGCGTTATTGTCAAATTAACGCTAAACTAAATTGGGTATTGTTGTCACAGCAAATGACAAAAATTATTAAAGATAGCATCAATCTATTTTTAGCTGGGTTTTCCAAATTTCTATAAAAATCTGCTTATTAATTTTTCTATTAAATAAGTAACCACTAGAATATAAAATATACTACTTCTTCGTTGGGTAGATTGATGTAATGGTTAATTTGAGTTAACAAATGATGAGAACATTCCTTTGATACCTGAATTTAATTGATGCTTGATATGAGCTTTCCTTTCTTTTATTACACGGCCACCCTAAATAGAAAATAAATCATTAATTTCTTCCAAGACTTTCTCATCAATTTCAAATCGTTCTAACTTCATTATGAGAATAGTTCCTTTTTAATTAAATCGTTGTCTAACACCGCTATAACACCATTATCTTCCGCTTAATTTTCCCAATATTTTTAACCATTTCTCGGGTTCTATTTTACAGTTACGAGTGACTCATACTTAGTTTGCAACCTTAAAGACATTCTATAGAGAAAAATCACTAGAACTTTATGGGATCAAACTCAACGGATATTTTTGATCAGTAGTACTTTTCGCTTGTAATGTTTTTATTCCAGATCATTTAGCTTAAAACTAATTCGCTTTATTAATAAATTTTGAAAGTTTGGAAAAATCTGAAGAATTGTAGTCAAATATTTCAAAATTTTACCAAAATGTCACTTAGAACTACTTGTAATTATCGTCAAACAGTGTCATTGCCGCCCTTTTTTTGTTGACATCTAACAAAATATTGCAACTCACAACGGTACAAGCTTCATACAAGAGCATAGTTCATAACTGCGTTCAGCATGTCAAATTTTGAATCAACGATTTGTGGACTGCATTGATTTTCTCTTGTCAATTGAAGAAAATTGCTGCAGAAACGCATCGATTGCTTGTTCAAAGCTACGGTGAACATACTCTTGGTAAATCACGATGCTTTGAAAACGATTTATAATTTTTTTATGACAGCGAATTGCAAGCATTAAATATAATAACATTAATACGTTGTTTTGGCTGATCTCTACAATATATTAGAAGTACTTTTCCAAAAATTTTATTTTGAAAAGCTTTAATTCCCACAAAAACGGGGCTTAAAACATCGAATGTTTATGTTAACTGCAAGTAATGTAATCTTGTGATTTAAACTTCCTAAATAGACGGTTTAAGCAAATTTGGATTTAGCAAAGGTCGTAACCGTTCATTTTACTATTCTGTTTTCGACCGTCCAACACCACATCGTGCCAGGACTATATCAATATAATTTACCATGGGCAAATGAAGTTCGTCCTAAACATCCGCCTAACTATCCGGCAACTGTTCCGAAATTAAATTTTGACATGAGCCTGTACCGAGAGAGGCAGCGGCGGGGAGGTGGCGGGTGGTTGTGGAAGGGAAAGGCGAAAGTTTGCCCGGGCGTGTGCTGTTGACAAGGCAATGAAATGTGTACGCAAACAAAGTTCGTAAGCATATAGTTCAATTACTGGAGCTTTTAATGGCAAAGTCCGCTTGCATCCTCCGGCTTTCAGTCGGCCCTTCCGTCCGGGCCCCGCCGGAAAGCAAACAAGTTCATCCCGTTTCAGGCCCTTCGTCATTCGTCCGGTCGCGCAAAAGGGAAAAAGTACGCATTAAATCGGAATGCCCTGTTTGCACAGTTGTGGTAACGGGATTAATTGAAGTTTATCGTGATTGTTGTATCCGTCTATGTTGCTTTGTGGAAAATAAAGTTGTATATTTTTTAGATCACTCTTATGATAAATTTAAAAAAAATATTTAAGTTAGTGCTAAAAGTTTCGATGAAGCAAAAGCGTAAATAAATTTCAACTTAACTTGTTTAGAACCGAATCGAAACTTTAATTGAAAGTGGCAGTTACAAATTCGTCCCTAATCCATCCGAACCAACTAATTCAAAGTGTCAACTCAGATCAATGAATTCACTGGCCGTCAACGAAACACGCCAGGAATTTGTAATTTATTTGATAACTATATTTTTTTAATTATTTAACTTACCATGATCATCCACCGCAACACAAGAAGTGCTGAACAATCCCAATAAACTGAAGAACCACACCACTATCATTGTCATTTCTTAAATTTAATTGTCACTACCGAAGTACATACATAACGCACTTTAATTAACACTTAATGTTTTAAAAATTGTAGTTCTCAGTTGGTGGTCATCAAAATTCCGATTAATCTGAAACAATAAAAAATAATTATAAAACATTGGAACGGTTAACTAGAATCTTTTTACTATGATGAAGTGTTATATGGAAAGAACGAAAGGAACTTGTTGATCAACACCGGAACACTTACTAAGTTACCCAAATTGGAATTGCGACCCTTTCTCGCGAGAGAGACTAAAATTTCAGCAGTTCTAATTTCAATTTCACCCCTTCATCTTCTTCACAACTCCCGTCATTCTTAAACCAACCGACATCGGATTAATATTGTTCGATGCGATTAATTGTGAACGCAATCAATCGTTCGTCGCTTAAGTAAGAGAAAATTCCATTTCCGTTTCTTGCCGCTTTTCCACTTGGGCAACTTTAATTTAAACTTCCGGGTTCGACGGTTGTCGTACGCAAAAAAGGAATCGAATTCGGTACAAATGCATAATTAACGCTTCCTTGTAGAAAAAAATACAAGAAGGGGAGAAGTCAATTAAAGTGGAGACGATTTGGGGATAAATTTTAAAATCCGATTGCTTCGCCTTTCCTGATCTTTTCGTGAAAATAAATTTTCTCAATCGACTACGCGGAATGGAAACTTTTATACAAATCCAAACAAGTTAAAGTATTAACTTATTTTTGCTTAAAAAGTAAGTACAAGAAATAAGTGTTTTAAACCATCCTCTAAACACAACATGTGAGATTTGCTGGGATTTACGAACAGTATATGATTACTATAGATTTATAGCTCACTTGAATTTTATCTGTTTGACCGAGTTTGAAGATAAACGGCTTTCCACTTGAACTCCAACAGATCTTAAAATACATTCGAATCTCAACACATCTTTTTTCGGCTATCTCCGAATAAAAATGGAAATTGAAAAACCTTAAGAAAAATCCTCTTGAAAGAAAATAAATTCTAATTGAGTTCGATACAACAGTCGCTGGTGCGCTCTCTGGATTGTCGTTAAAGTATAGGGGAGAAGAAATCTCGGGGAAAAACACCGCAAATTCCAAAGTTCCCGTTTTCAATTTCGCCCTCACCGGTTTGTTGCCGCGAACTTCCCGCTTGTAACGTTACGCGGTTGGGTTATTTGGCGTGATTGGAATTCGAAATTCGGAAAACGTGCCTTAACGAAAGGTGTCGGAAGTGGCGGAAACGCCGGGGGGCGGCACTTAATTAACGTTAACGCGGGCTTTTTATTTCCGAAAGGGTTCCTTGAGGCACGGAGGTTAATTATTTACATTGAAATTGAGTTAGAAATTAATTTTACTCGATGATATTTTTGTGAAATGCTTTGGAGAGTAGTTTTTATAGTCCCATTTTCCCACAACAATCTGGAAAATGCGGCGTTTTTTGTGAAGGCATGTCAACACATTCAGTCCAATGCAACCCGTTGAGGCGTAACACGTGATACAAACCGAAAACGTGATCAGTTAACCGTATGCACCTCATGCATGGATGTAGCAAATACTTTTGATTGGAATTTTACATTCAATTTCATACATATTTTATATTTTAAAATTTTCATTTAAAACACAAAATTTATATTTGTTAAAGAAACGAAGCAAACGAAATAAAATATATTACTTTGCAATTATTTAAAAATTAATTTACATCGTCCAGCAATGCTGAAATAAATATCACATAGGATTTATTAGATACGATTTCTATGAATACGTTTTAAATTAATTTAAACATACACATTTTATTAATTAAACCCGTTTGCTGTGTTATTTTCGAACAATTGATTGAACCCCATCCGAAATAAATGTACAATAAATTCATATTCAATAATACATTTATTTGAAATGAATTATAAATAAATTCATGGATAGAATTATAAAACTACAATGGGAATTTATTAATAATAACAAAAAACGCAAAAACAAAACTCCGTTACGAGGCTCAAACTTCAAAATCGATCAAACAAAACTTTAAAACAAACAGCTTAACTCAAAAGGGAAACTAACTGTTGCTCAAATACGTTTAAGTTATACCAGAAAAATCCAATTTTTTTTTAAGTTGTTTTGATCCTTAGATGTAAAAACCTCCAAAAAATGAGAAGAATAATTAAAGACACTCACTCTTTTATGCTAAAAAAATTAATAAGCAGGATAACACACGCAGTTCTACATTCAGCACAATACTCAAAATAAGAAAAGTTCGTACGTCGCGATTGAAAATCGGAAACGCCAACGTGACAGTTGATTTTTGGTTATCGAAGTAACCGGGATGTAATAGGGGTGAGATGCGGAACGGAATGCCGGAAAGTTGCCACCGAGAAACAACCCCTTTTTAAGCACAGTCAGCAACGCCGCTGCCTCCGACGTTCGCGAGCCGCAACGGAAAACTGAGGTAGGGTCGCAGTCGGCGCTGCATCACGCGCCGTTCAGAGGTAGTATCACTAATACCGGCCCTAAGGGTGGGGGGCCAAAGGACAACCCCCGATATTTGTCGCGGGGGTGGCAATTGTATCAAATAGCATTCTGAATTCAACTGAATTATAATTGTTATATAAGATAAAACGGAACTTTTCGAATTATTTTAATGATTGAAACATCAGAACGATATTTTGTTCTTAAAAATAAAATTTTGTTTTAAAAGTATTGGTAAATAAAATAACATAAAATACGTCGGGAAAAGACAATCATGGTCTGTCATTTCCCATGGAGGTATTATTAATAATAGTAAAAATATTTAGTTTGTGTATTTCAGTATGTTTATGAAAACTTCAAACTATTAGCTATATATACAGGTGACTGGCACATAAACGTAAATATTGAAATACATAATTATAGAGCTCATTTGCAATTGAAGGGATTATTTCCAGAACGTGACAAGCCACACCTTCTGCAGAAATGAGATTTTGCTATTTTCTTATCATGCAATAGTATAACAAGTCGCATAAAAATTTGTACAAAGTTATTCATACAGATGGCTCCACTTATCCTAAAACCTCGTTGTTAATACACTGCAGCGTTAAAATCTACAGTTTAGAACTTGACAAGCCAACAAAATGGACGGCGCATTTGCAACAGGTGACAAAGACAGTGAAATTAACGACGATATTAGTGAAGAAGATGATAGTGTAGTAGATAAAGAATACGAACCATCTGATCTCGATGCAGATTCAGCATATTTTGAGGTAAGTGTTTTTTTATTTTTTTGTGGCATGTCATGAAGCTGTGAAGTTTCATCCGTACCATCTCCAAAACCTAAATGGAGGCACAGAAACACGGACATGTACGTGAGAACGACAAGAAAAAATAGGCGTAATTTAGGGCAAGAGTATAGAAGTGAATCGACCAATATGTGTGTAAAAGTTCAAAATGAAATGTAGGACTTTCGCAGAAGGATGTTATGAAAAAATATTTAAGGAATTCTGGGATCTAGAATCCTATGACTTGCAATAGTTACCTCTTTGGATGTATTCAGTTATCACCTAAGAAACGTTCCTAGCATAAAAAACAAACTAAACAAGAATCTAGCAGACACTTTTACGCTAAATATTTCGTGACTGTTGGTGGGAAACACATAAGGCTTTGCAAAATCGAATTTATGAGTGTTCATGGTCTTCAATCCTTTCGCGCCAGAATCAATAGATTCGTTAGCAAAAAGATTTAGGGAGCTCAACTGCAGGTAAGGACAAGAGAGGAAAGCACAGTAATCGACCGAATCAGTTGAGTGAACACCAGAAAGAATCAGTTTGATATTATATACGGATGATACCACAGTATCAAAGTCATTACAGTAGGACTGACAATTTTGAGAGAACCTATTTAAACTGTGATATGACCATCGCTAGACTTTACAAAGAGTTTTATGTTCTTTGGTATTAAGAGCAAGGTGTAAATGCTGTTAAAGAAAGTGCCCATCGAAAAATATTTTGTACGGAATTTGATATTGGATTTAAATTACCTAAATCTGACATTTGCAAAACTTGCGATGATTTTAATTTGAAAATATCTAACAGTACAGTTGCTTGTGAAAATAATGAGAAGGAATTACAGGAACTAAACACACAGTCAAATTTGCACAAAAGTAGAGCGGCTGCAATGCAAAGCTTATTACTGAACACGAAATTGCTGAATTTTACTAACTTTAAGTTTTACTAACTTTTGCTAGCTGTAAAACTTGTATTCGCTCCAATTGTGATCCTATAAAATAGCTATTAATGATGCTAAATATCAACTTCAGGATTTATTGTATTCATGATTTAACGTTTTTTAGTTCTTATAAGTTAAAATAAATAGTAGGCGTAATCGATTTTGTATTTTATTAACTTTACGTAAGTGTTCAAAATAATACATGCTTCAATACTTATCTTATTATTAGCTAATTGGAAGAACATTTAGCCCTACTTAATACCTTATTTGGAAGGTAATAAAACATAGAAGATTTTAAAATACTTTATACGACAAATATATTATCAAAATTTTGAAAGAGATGCTCATAAAAAAACAAAGCTCAGTAATAATGCTCTCAATAATAATGCGTTTCAATATTCACGTTTATGTAGCAGTCACCCTGTATAAGTTGATGTGTTTAATATCATATCAACCTAAAAATACTTAATACTTCTTGCAAATATTAAGACAAGGAAAATTTTAAGTCGCTAAGCCGAGGTCACTTATATGTATTCCATATAAACACAAATCTGCTGAATACATGTTGCAGTATTTAGCCGCAAGAGGCCTTGGAAAATATTCTTCTCCTTTAGATGCCGTCTCCGATTCGGAGGTTGGCAATTCTAACTTTTGCGACCACGGATCTGAATAGTTCGTTGCTGGTGCAGCCAAACCATTGAAATTCCATGAAATCTTTAACATTCGTCGGTATATCCATGTCTCAAATGCCTCCAGTTTTCTCACATCACCCGCCTTAAGTGTCCACGCTTCCACCCCGTAGAACAGTACCGATAGCACATAGTACCTAATCATTCCGACAACAAAAAAGCTTCTTCATTCTATTAAACGTGCTTTTAGCCTGTTTACCTGTAACCTCACTATCAAGGAAAGTGTAAACATAGCGGGTATTGAGGTGTATAGCAAATTTTTTATCTGTTGAAAAAGACTTTAAGGGAGTGTAACGCCCCTTTATGTATTGGAGCGTATTGTGTTTATGTTTAATAACTCGAAAAGATAAAATGTTTACAAAACATATTTTCTAACTAAAGATGTATCGGGGTAAATGCGTTGTAATATTTTGATATTTGATACCTGTTGTTCTCTTTGTAATGGAAAGTATCCCAACGTTCGTTGTCTCCCTCTGATAGAACTGTTGTTTAGGTTGTGGACAATGGTCCATGAATCTAGTAATAACAAACTTTTCGATCCTACGACTAATGGATAAGTATAAACAAATCTCCCAAATCTATCAGATATTAGTTTCCTGAAGTCGATGCTTTTATATCAATTTTTGGTGTATTAACCAACCATATCAGTAGAATTTTTTGATACTATGATGACGACAAAAGGTTATGTCGTATATACTTATATACATAACGACTTTGCCGATACTGATATTACTGGAAGAAATGTGTGGCAGTGAGTTGTTGCATTTATAGATTGAACAACTACTTCAACTTGCTGTGACCCTTTGAAAGCCAACGTCACCTTTCTCAATAATGCTACCAAAGTACTATAATGTTTCAACTCGTTTCAGGTCTCTTTCATTCACTGTTAACTTTGCTTCAGGTACAGAATTGATCCTCATCTTTGTTTTTTGAATATTTCCTTTTAATCCTGCTGCTTCTGCTACAGAATTACCATTATGTCATTAAAGTTCCGTGAAAGTAGGCAATTGTCGTCTGCAAACTCAAGTCTATCTTGTATAGCTGAATATCAGTTCTCCTTCGTTCTGTAACCTCACTCTATCCAATACCAAGTGTAACAGTATGGGTGACACAATACACTCTTGTCTCACCTCGGAATTAGCATGGTTAGGATCGGCAAGTTTTCATTATGCACCACTCATACCTATCATACATCTCCCTGATAACACTGATAATCTGTAGAGGGATCTTCTTCCAAAGTATGCCACATAATTCTTCTGCTTAACGAGTAAAAGATCATTTACCAATTTACCAAATTAGCAAAATCAATCAATGAGTTTTGGGAATATGTGTATCTAAACTTAGTATCGAAAATCATAATTGTCGATCATTAATTTCCAATTATATCAAATATACAAAGTTATATACATATCACTACATTGGTTTACAGAGATGATGCTGTGACGACTATTTTGGTTACTAAGAAGATATTCAATGTTTGTAATTTGTGATTTTGTTTATAAATATATTAAATATTGATCGAAAATAGTTGGTAAACATGTCATCAAGCGTGGAAAACTTAAAAGAAATGTTGAAATGTCTTGAACTTGATTCCAACATTGAACTATGAATTAATTTAACAATATTCTATAATGGAATTTTATTTACTAAAGATGATATTTGTTAAAAAAAACAGAAAATAATGACCTCAATTTAAAAAGTCCATGAAAATTGTGTTGATACACATATCTGTGTCTAAATTAAACGTATGTATTTTTCTTCGTAAAATGTTCAGTAAATTCTAGTTGTTTTAAAACGAATAAAACTGTAAAACAAGTAATAGTAAACAATACGTGATACGCTCAAAGATCCACACAACAAACAACATACATACAAATTTTGTAGAACCTCAACCCGACTCCTACTTACATATTACAAATGAAGAGAGATAATGGTAAACATCCACAAGTTATTTAAACTTACCCCAAGCAAATATAAAATGGAATTAAAATGAAAAGCTGAAGGAAATATAAAAGTTGTAAACATATCTCGAATAAAGTTTTAAAATTAATTTGTTGTTTAAATTAAAAAAATTAATCATAATTCTGTTGACTTTCGAATTCATATTGTAAAGTTTAAATCTGGTTCTGAAGAAGAAAAAAGTTTAAAGCTTTGAGAAACTTAATAGAAAAGGGACAGGGAGCACCTGTTTGACTGCAATAAATTATACCCCTGGTGAAACTCCTGGGGCGGAAACGCCACCTACATCAATTGGGAATTTATTCCTGAGCCCCGCAAAAAGCACCCCCAACCTGCCCGCCCCCCTAAACAAACCGAACCGCGTGCAAGCAGCGGTATCGAGACTCGACCTTTACTATTACATAATTCTGGAGAACTCGCCCTGAACTGATACAATTGCCACCCCTCGACAAATATCGGGGTGGTTTTCTTTCCTATACCCTTCAAACTGTTTTATTATATACCAACGACATCACTGTGTTTAAATTTACCCTTATAAGTACTACAAGGGCTAACATTTT